GGTTTTTGGAAGCACAGCTTCTGCCACTGGCTCCACATGGCCGTCGCCATCTGCTGATAGAGTTCCACCGGCTTCCTCATCATGATGCCTCATATTTTTTGTGCGAGGCGTTAGAATCCATTTATGCATTCTGCGCTCAGGAGCCTTTTCCTGCGCCTATTTTGTCGAAGTCTCAAGAAGCCAAACGGTGCGGTTTTCACGCTTGAAGAGCATCATTTAAGCACCTCTAAAGTCATTGTAAGGGAAGTTTCAGAGGAATTGCTACGTGCAGACTGTTGAGCAACAAGCAAATTTTAATGCGCTAAACAGCAGTAAAACCACCAGAGAACATTTATTGCCAAATGTATTTGGAAAATAAAGTTGATAACGAAATCTCTAATGATTCTTGCCTCACTGTGCAAAAGAGGCTGAATAATTCCTGGCCTTTTTTTTCGTTTTTTTTAAAACGATCTAAAGATAATTTTGAAGCCGACCATCACTTAACCACGGTACTATAATAGTCAACGTGTTTCTATACTGCTGAGCATACAAGAGCTTGATATGAGATTTTTATTCGGCTAACGTTTCGACGTCTTCGTCTTTATGAGAGCACACGATCCTTGTCGATGGTCCAAATCTCGAGATCAGATTCGAGATGATGCTCAAGTGAAGAAGATCCGCTTCGATGCGAGGCGAAGACGCCACAGCGAGAAAAGGAACAACTGTGGACCATCGACAAGGATCGTAGGCTCTGATGAAAACGAAGACGTCGAAACGTTAGCCGAATAAACATCTCTTGAAGCGTTTTGGATCAATTCCAAAAATTCAAAAATGAACCGCAAGGAGGAGTGTTTTGTCATCACGCGTGACCTAGCGCCATACCTCAGGCTGATTCAATGAACTGACACAGGCACAGTCGACGCCCAGTCCTTGTATTCCTTTATGCTGCTGTTATCCACCAACTAACTGAAATACAACGAGTAAACGGTAGGTGTTCAAATGAAGCTGTTTCTTATGCGAATGCAAATTTACTTGTTAAGTTTTATCTGCTGAGGTTATGAAAGTGTGGCTGAGTAGGTCGCATCTCAATTTGACCTTTCGAGGCTCTGAAGAAGGCGAAACCGCCGAAACGTCAGCTATTGTATCCTAGTGAAGTCTATAATAACAACCTCGTGTCTGCTTATTGAAGAAAAACATCTCATATCATCCTCGTGTAATCTCAACGATATAAACACATGTTGATCTAGTTGAAGTAAAAGAAGTCGAAAAGAGGCGGGGCATGTGGACTACTTTTTCAGACCATCTACTAAGAACATGTGGAACACTTCGAAAATTGTAAGACATAGCACCGAACGCCAATCCTAGCGAACGCAGCGGTGCGTAAAATGGCGCATCGTTGCACCACGCTCCGTCCGGCCGGTGTTATGTTTCTGTGAAAATCCAAAAAGAAGTACCGTAGCTCAAAGCCCATCCTTTTGCTTGTTGGAGCATGAGAACACTTTTAAGACAGCATTGTTTAATCACTTAGGAAACATCACCTCTATCACCTGTAGTCCTGTTGATCGCCGAGTGACTCGAGCCGGCGCCAATAAATCTTCCATTTTTCCCTGTCGCGTGCAAGAGTAGCCCAGTGGGTTCTGCTCATTCTAGGGACTCGTTGAGCATCATACCTTTCTTCTAGGCTTTTCGCGAAGAACTCTGACCATCGAGTCGGCGGTCTTCCTGAGGTGCGCTTGACACCCCGAGGAATCCTGTTACTAACAGCTCTTGTGCATCGGTTGTCATTCATACGCATTACGTGTATGGCCCACTTTATCTTCGGCTGTTTGGCGTACTGAACGGCATCTTTGATTTTTGATCGTTGACGCAGATCGGAGCTTCGGATCCCTTCTCTTACTTGTGCGACACAGAATACTCTTGGCATCGTCCTTTCGACTGCGCGTTCGATAACGCTGAATGATCTTTCATCCTGCTTACGCAGCGACCAGGTTTCTGACGCATTCGTTAGGGTATGAAGTACCGTTGAGTCGAAAAGGTGGTTACGGTGTCGGGTGTTATTTGTTCTCTTCACTACATCCTCGATGCTCTTGAAAGCTCTCTAAGGCCCTCGCTTTCTTCTGCTCAGCGCTGGAGCTAGGTCGTTCATCATATAGATTTCCTGACCTAGATAGATATAACTGGAGCATTCGAAGATATTCGTTCTGATGAACGTAAATGGGACATGCGAAACCAATCCGTTTTTCACGAACATCGTTTTTGTGAGATTTAGTCGAAGACCAATCATTCCACAGGCTTTGTCAAAGTAGACAAGCATACGTTCTGCTTGGCTAACGTTTGGTGTTATAAACACGATGTCATCAGCAAAGCGAAGATGATGTAACTGCTGACCGTCGATTTTCACTCCCATATTATCCCATTCCAATGTTCGCATGACGTTCTGGAGGGTGGTGGTAAATAATTTTTGTGAGATGGTATCGTCTTGCCTAACTCCTCTTTTAACGTCAATGTTAATATCGTTGTAGAATGGTGATATCTTGGTTGTGGAATTTTTGCACAGCTCCCGAAGAATTTTTGCGCACTGAGTAGGGAATCCCTGACTATCAAGGGCTTCCATGAAATCGATGAAGGTGAAACAGAGCGATCTTTTGTACTCTCGCGATACTTCAATGAGTCTTGTTATCGTGTGGACGTGATCCGTCGTACTAAATCCTGTTCAAAACCCTTCTTGCTCACATGGCTGTCCTTTATCCAGTGTTCTGTCAATCCTGTTTAGGATGACTCGAGTGAAGTTTGTAGACGACAGACAGCAAGCGGATTGGGCGATAGTTGCCGATGTGTAAGTCACGCTTTTTGAATAATACAACGGTCTTGGTGGTCTTCTACTGACTGGGGACCTTGCATTCAGACAGGTAATGCGTGAAGAACCGAGCCCGTGTGTTTACGAGGACTGGCGGAAGGTTCTTCAGGTGTTCTGATCTTGTCCTCTCCGGACCTGGTGCTATTCCATTCCAGTGTTCGCATGACGTTCTGGAGGGTGGCGGTAAATAATTTAGGCGAGATAGTGTCTAGGAAACATGTGGGAAAAAATAAACATTCTGTAGGGAAAGCCTCTTCTATAAATCTCCTTTATTCTCAGTTCCCAACTTGCTAAGTTACTGAACAATCAGTGTAGTCAGTAATGTGTTAAAACGTGTTGGTGATATTAAAGGAGAAGAATGGTGAAGCACTAGGTGTTCATTAGCACCTTAGAGATGCACTGTTTACTGGACTCCATTAAGCATTGCAGAGATTATCGAATGTACATTTCGCCTGTATAATGAATTTTGGCGACCTTCTGATGTGTCAATTCCATGTTCTTGCCTTCTGACAGAAGTCTGAAACAAATATGACGAAAACAAAAGTTCGTAGACATGGACTGGTTTGACCTTGGCCCGGGAGTGTCCCAAAGATGATAAGTTTTGTAGATACCTTTAAAACTGCGCTGCACGCACCCATTATGACAACTTATGTGTCGATACTTGATTTATCAGAACATCACGTCGTATAAAGCGCATGCTTTCTAGCGAAACATCACAGCCGAGGGTGTGGGGCGTATTTTAGGCTTTTTTTCAGAAAAAAGCTGCTTCCAAGTTGTAGAGATTGTCCAAGTTTTGATTTTATGCTTTAAGAGCTCTCAGCGTTAATCTCTTCCTGAGGGATGCGCCATGCATTTAATTTCTTTAAACGTCGTTGGAGGTTACTGAATGCATATCTGGCCTTTACGATGACTCATGGTGGCCTACCGATATATCGAGGCAATGCTGCTAACCTCCCAGACAAGTTTGGTACCAATTTGCCAACCCTGGAGTAATAGTGGGCACGGTGATGCTGGGGCGGCGATCGATCTCATGTGTATTGCAGAGCTCCTCCGACCACTGCGCTACACGACGCACACAACATTGGTTTCTTGGTTTTCAGGAAAACCGAATAGTCTTTTATGTCTTCATGTTTTTTCTTCAACAGAAAGTTGCCGAACTGCTGTTATGCTTATTTTTGCTGCCGTCGGCGGTTCCGAGTTCTGCTCATATCTCACCATCCTTGTGGTACCTCTCCGTGAAAAAGGAATACTTGCTTACTTGATACTTAAACGGTCTGTCTTCACTAGTTGTGCGGTCCCCAGCATAAACACCATTTTTCGGAGACTTGCTGGTTAAGCCATTGTGGTTCCCTGGAATCGCGAGGTCAGTCTGGCCAAAGTCTGCCCCAGATCTTCACCACCACAGGCAGTCGCCGCCCTTGTGGACCAGAGGGGATTTGCCACCATGCGACTTTGATACCAGGACGGTGGTGGTTCCTGGTATTGGTTTACTCTTAGATAGGCTTCCTGATGGAAACGCCGGACTCCTCAGCCTGGGAGACCCTCGCTTGGGACGAATCCACCCATTATACATCGCACTCCGGCACGCAGGAACACCTCCCAGCCACGGTGAGGCGGTATACCGTTGGGAGAGGAAAAGAAAAGAAAAAGGAATAGGCACCAAATAAAAGTTAATGCATTATTATTTCGACTGCAGATTCATCTTACTTAGGTTCGTTGCCAATTTATGTTTTCCAGATCACTCCTGTTCAGGGGTAGTAGCTGGTAGCACCAGTAGGGTAAAAGAAAATTGGCTGGTGGGAGGGCGAAGCAAAGTACTTGCTTGCCGTGACGTATAGCACCTGAGCTCCAGATAACAATAACCACTGGTTCTCAGCCTAGCTGAGGTTCTGAGTTATGCTCATATCTCATAGTCTTTGTGGTGTATTTCACGTAGTACTTTGCCATGAAAAAAAGAATGAACAGTAACTAAAAATTTAGAGGGTACTCAAGTAACTTTAAAATTTTCATAGACCGATGTTTGGTATGCGAAGCGCAGGCGACCGGCTTCCACTTCGAGGCGCAGTCGTGCTCGGCCTGTGCGGCTTTTTTCCGCCGAACAGTCTCGCTCAACAAGAAGTTCGTCTGCATCGCCAATCGCTCCAACTGTAAAGTTCACTACAGTATGTTTGGAAGCTCTATTATTGACTTAGCAGCCCAACTCCAAAATTTTGTCATTGCGTCCGTAGTAATACGTATAGTCTACGCACGAAGAATTGTGAAACTCAATTTTCTAAACATGAATCAGATAGTTACGTAGATGGCTATTGCTTGATTGGGAGCTAATGTACCACTTTGGAAGAGCAAGAGACTTTCTTTCTGTTAAACACGAAGTTATAATTGGATAAGCTGTAAAACATCCGGAAGGCGTCCAAGCAAACGTATCGCGGTGGACACCAGAACACAGTACTATACAAGATGGGAACAAAAGTAATATAGCATTGGAAACAAAGTAACAAAAGTGGACGATCAACACAAACTTGTGTGTGATCATTTACTATGAATATCTTCACAGCAATGGCACAAGCTTCATCGCAGCCAAAACCAAAAATCATTTTGACAAAGCAGTCCTCACCACTCCCCTATGAGACCTTGGATCACTGTGATTCGCATTCGATGACATTAGACTTGATATCATAGGGTGTAGGTTCATGAACTTTTCCATCGACGTTGCAGCAGTGACGCGGATCGGAAATGCGTTCGAGCGAGATTACCTGTGAATGAGGAAAAACACACAGCTGTTAGCGTCATCGTGAAGTACCTTAATCTATGCAGCTATCGTCGGTGAATGGTCGCCAAATGAATTGCACACAAGGTCAACATCATGCGCGAACGGTTGCCTGGCTATAAATCTCACGATGTTGCACATGGCAGGTTCTATGAGTGCCGCGAAGAAAAAGGCCGTTATCATCAGAGAGTACATCGAGGAGCTCACAGCTTCCACGTTGCTGGTGGGAGAATCACAGCTCGCTGAATTTCTAGCAGCTCTAAGGTGTATGATTCGGACATCGTGATTCTCGGCTTTTCCTTCAAGTCGTTTCCATAACAACAAGCACTTTGTTAACTTAGAAAACTTCAAATCGGAACTTGAATAGTCTTTCGACTTTTTCTTGCCACAATCCTGGAAGAAAAACATTCATTCTCTCCTGAACGATGGATACCAGTGAAATCGAGAACAAATTCATGACACCGTGAGAATGACGTCCTGTTGAAACCATTCTGAAAAATCGGAACCAAGGGGAAAAATGGTGTGCTAACATGTTGTCATCCCAGTGTTTGAAGCGTGTGAGTTAACTGATTAGATATGTTTTCATGCTGTATTCGCCGGTTTACAACGATTAGTTGACTTCGGAACTGACTATGCTCTGAAATCTGACGAATACCAGGAAAAAATCTAAAGTTACAGCATTCTTTTTAAAGCCCTGTCCACGGAAAAAGTTCACACAGAAAAGTAATTCGAATGTCAATAAAATGGACATTTATTCAACTCAGGTATGCATCAGACCTGCCGCTCCTGTCGATTCGAAAAGTGCTTGAAAGCTGGCATGAATCGTTCAGGTATGTTATGTTGAATATCTGATTTTCATTTTTGATGTTGAATAAGCCTAAAACATAGATGGTAGCTGTGATCCCATTGAACGGTAGGAGAGAAATGTGAAACGAAAGATCTTCAAACTGTGGTGGTACGCATGTTAGCCTCCGGAAAGGGTAATAACGTGTTCGATCCGCACCGCAGTCACCTGCGGTCCGGAGTTTTGCAAACATCTTAGCATCATTGAGGTTGATTTCGCATAATGGGCTGCCTTGAAAAATTGTAGTACGCAGTAAATATAAATGCTATCATAATTATGATTGTAAGAATGGTTTGGTGGAAGAGGATAACAAGAACAGTTTGTGCTAGGTCCGATGAAAACCACGCAATCCAAAATCACTCGTTATGAAATATGATCGAGTTCGGATGCAGTGCAATTGAATTCTAAGGAAGGTCTCTCTAACCCATTTCACCCTTGGCTTCACGGCTATTATGTCGGCTTACTATAGGATATGTTAAACAAAATACCTTTCCGTGAAGAAAAAATGATGGGCGGTAGATAAAAGTTGTACACTTAGATGTGTATGTTTCGTTTGAGAAAACAACAACAGAAGTCGAAAGGAAAGCACATGGCAAAAATACAGAGTGTAGTAATTTAAATGGAATAAACCGAAAACATCTAGCCTGAGAATTCGAATACGAATATAGATATACTGACATAAATAGTAGTAATATTCCTCCCACCGGTTTACCATCCTGGCTTGGAGGTGTTCCTGGACGTCAGGTTGCGATGTAGAGGAGGCGGACTCATCCCTACAGCAGGGTCTCCAAAGTTGAGGAGTCGGGAGTTCCCATCACGAAGACCAGCTAAGAGTAAACCAGCATCAGGAATCATCATCGCCTTGGTATCAAAGTGGCATGGTAGCAAGTCTCCTTCTGACCCACGGGTTGGCGACTGCTTGTGGTGGTGACGACGTGGGGTAGACTTCGCCTAGGCTCCTCGGGGCGCCGGGAAACCACAGTGGTTAAGCCAGTAAAACTCCGAAAGAGTGGAAATTATGCTGGTGCTCGAACAACCAGTGAAGACGGGCCATCCAAGCATTTAGGTAGGTAATAGTGTTACATCAATATAATATTAATATTAATACTGTTTTTCCGAACACTTCATATCAGCTGTTAGTGAGGTGAGTGGTGATATTCTTAACTTTCCTTTCCTAATTCATTTGTGTTTACTTCTAAATAAGCTTGCGAAAATCTATTTTTCTTAGGAGTACGACCTCGTAAAGAAATCTCTAATCATCGCAGAACATTCTGTACGAAATCTGGTCTCAAACGAAATAAACGCTTCGCTGTAGTTGAACCGATGTCATGGGAAGAACGGAAGCAAGTCGAAGAGGTTCGGTCAGCTGTATTGTTGCTTTCCTCACTGGTGCATTTTTCATCGTTGCTTCCACAGACAGGATGGGGTTTTGTGTCTATTTTCTTTCTGTTGATGAAAAAATGAGATTGAAAAGTGGGTACTATTTTCTCATCCATCCGTCTAGTATCAATTTTACTAAGGTTCTTAAAGTCTCTAGAAATGGAATTGCTTCTTAACAAAACTCTGTAATGATGTTAGCCTCTAGCAACTGCTACTCAAACGTCTTCTTTCTCATCTAACTCGGATTATAATTTAAGAATAAAATTGGCCCTAACTGATGTGATCAGTCTACGGGCCAAAAGAAAGGGTTGTTTAGGTTCGGTATTGATTGCTAGAAGCGTAATTCTTCTTCGTTGCATTTAATCAACTCTATAGGTTTCTAGAAATCGCTTTTTATAGCATCCTTTCTTCCCACTTGTCTTTCCTTCTGGATTCCTCTCTAATCGTTCTCAATCAATACTTCTATGACTATGATTAAGATCACTGATCAACCACGCAGTTCTTCCGACTTCAGCACATATTCTCCGGCTTCATCTCCGAACGAGGTCAGATTTTTTAGATTATAACAATTTGTTTAGACTTTCTTCCAACTCTGCTAGCTTTCGCTTATTCTCCTTCATTTGTACAGGCTATGCGGGAAAAAGAGCCTTTTCAATAGATCTTCAGGTCTTTTCGAGTCTAATGTTCCCATACCAGTACTAATTTGCCCATATAACGCCCGATATGGACACTAGTGTCCTTTTTCAGTTCAGCACTGAAATTTCTTTCACCGCATTACATATATGTGTTTATTTATTTATTCATTCGGTGGCTGACTGGAAGGAGGTGGAAATAGAGGTTGAGACAGAAAGAAAGCGTTCTCTGCGCTTAATAATTTAAAAGAAACACTTTTTCATAAGACTTCATTTGTTGACGATACACTCTAAAATACGACACTTCAAGAAATCGCCTGCACATATGGAACTAAGCAGATAAGAGGACTTCATACACTTATTTATTGACTTCGCGACTAGGCGCGGGCAAGTCTGTCTGTTTTGTGCAGCCGACGAGAAAATGCTCGAGTCCTTTGGGTCGGCCGCACTAAACGGTGCGCGTCGTGACCCTTTCATGTGTGCGGCCACATTCGCGTGTTTGCCCCATCGGGCGTCTTGTCGTCGAAGCACAGTTGAAATGCGCCTTCGAAATGCCTCACCCTAATCACTTGATCATCGTCTCATTTATCGGAGAAGGTTTTCTTCATGAGAGTGTTAGTTGAGTAAAAGAATATGAATTACCCGTGATTGAATGCTTGTATGGGTCATCCATGAGTTAATTTAGCACGACATTCGATAGACTTCCAATTCGTAAAGCAATTCGTTCGAGAGTAAGAGATTAGATTGTCAACCCTAGTTAGAGGATTTCATTTCCAGTGATTCTCAGAAAAGCAAACGACATCAATAAACATGATGGCCTAAGAGCTAAAGCAAAAGTCGTCGTTAGCAGAAAACAAAGACTTTCATAATAAACACAGCATTTTATAACGGTGTATTTAATAGAAGTGAAGAAATGTTTTGAAAAAAAGGTGAGATACGTTATCAGTGTAAGGAAGGAAGAATATTCCTACGAAAGAAAAAGAAAACAGAGCTAGGAAATTTTTTCATCATCGTTAATAAATCCTATTTGTATCATGGAATTTTTTCAACTCTTCGGTAACGACTGTCTTCTAACTTTGAGAACACGCTGTAATAAGGAAAAAAATCAGAGAAACGTCGGCCGAAATAAGATAAGTGTGATAAAAATGTGATACGGAAAATGCGATAAAATTATAGTTTTCTTTAAACTGACGCCAGAAACAAGAAAAGATCAGCAGCTCACCTCCAATTGCATTGTAGCCTCGACGACTGGCGTCTGACTGTGCATGAGTACGATCTGCAATATCCGTCCCTCAGTCACCGCCGTATCCCAGCATTTCTCCCATTCTGGGTAAATGGTCTTCCTCTTCTGAACCAATCGTGACTCATCTGTAAATATTCCTCCCTTTTCGTATTATAGAACTATGCCGAACGTCTCATTTGTTAGCTATAGAAGTGTTAAGAGTGAATGGAAGATTACTCTAAAACATGCAAAGAAATGGAAATTTCTATATCGCGCATACGTTATTCACTAAGAAATATGGGAGAATTTGCGGAAATTACCCCGTACCGCGTAAGGGCGTGTGTTGCGCAGTGGTCGGAGGCGTGCTGCAACACACACGTGGAATCGATCCCGGCACCCATGGCCCACCAAGCGTTCCATCCCTCCGGAGTCGTCGAATTGCTAGCATATTTATCTGGGAAGATAGCACCACTGGCTCGATACATCGCTAAGCCACCGCGAGTCATTATAAAGGCCAGATATTCATTCAATCACCTCCAAACGATGCTTTGTGAAGCCTAATGCGTGGGGCCACATATTCATTCAATCACCTCCAAACGATGCTTTATGAAACCTAATGCGTGGCGCATCCCTCAAGGTTGATCAACGCCGACAGCTTTCTCCTTTTTTTCTGTTTTTAACTCTCGTACCACTAAACTCTCATGGTTCATGGTAATAAGGAAATTATGTGGGAATTATAGGCACGGTCTACACAGCCCATACGCCATAACTTTTAGCATGCCGCTGTAGTTCATGGCGATCGGGATCGATCATCACTTAATATCCTCGGCTTGCACATATCACTTAATATTCCATGTTGTGCACATAAGAGATTTTTCAGTGACATTTCGTTTTTTGAATAAATTTCGGAGACAATAATGTAAAAATGTTAATGGAGTCATTTTTCCTTTTAGATATCCTCCGCTTAAACACCGAGCTAACAATTTTTGTGCGCGAACTAAAAAATGGGATAAAATTTAACTGTAGCCATACAAGAATTGCCTACATGTCTTTTGTATTGTGCTAACCCGTAAACGAAAAAATTTGAAAATCTTTCCAACAATTCCGACCATTTCAGAAACACAGGAAGACGTGAGACACTTAAACACTAGAAGTTAATGCCTCTTTTTATGTTCAAAAGTAGATCCTGAAGGCTGGAAGTGTTCTAGAGATTGCGATTTTATAGATTATTGATTCAGATGTGCCGAGAATTATCATGTCATTCCCCAGCTATTAGAGCTTTGACAGTACTTCGTGAAGTGGTCCCCAACAAATGCAGCCAGTCCTTGAGCACCTCGATTACGACTGTAGTAAACATGAAGATGTGCAATTACTAGACAATGGATGGCGATTCGAACATAAAAAATTCGACCTTACTTTTAATTGATTAAGTCGTTCGTATCAAAGGGCGAGACAAATGAAAACTGAAGCACGATGAGGTGAGATGGTAGATCGGTGAAGATAGAATTTTGTGGGCACGCTGTCAAACCTTACGATAAGCCAAAAATTGCATTTTAGACCTATTTCTTGTCAAATTCATTTGAAGATTTACAGTGGTCCCCTCACACCTCTACTCGTTTACCACCTCATTATGGAACGAGGATATTACAGCGTACTACATTGCAAAGTATAACGAAGTTCATTCCGCAACTTGGATTCCCGTTTGCTACCTTCTTGTCAAGTAAAGTAAGAAATTACTTCGCACAAAAGTTTGATGTTCTTCGTATCCTTTGTGTAACTCTGTTAGGCTTAGAGTTAATCGATAAATAAAAAAGCCCTCGGCGTTGATCCATCCCTGAAGGATGCGCCATGCATTCGACTTCATTAAGCATCGTTTGGAGGAGATTGAATGCATATCTGGCCTTCACAACCACTCACAGTGGCCTACCGATGTATCGAGCCAGTGCTGCTATCCTCCCAGATAAGTCTGGTACCAATTTACCGACTCCGAAAGGATGGAAGGCTTTGTGGACCATGGGCGCGGGGAAGAATTCCACGTGTGTGTTGCAGGGCGCCTCCTACCACTGCGTCAAACGCGCCCAATGAATTAATCGGTATTCTACCAAACCACTGAAACAGAACATTAAGGAAAATAAACTAGTATGAATTCATAACACGGTTTGATTTACTCTTAAGACATCAAAGACATCAAATTCTCTGGTTTTACCCAACTGAGCTGAAATGAAATTATATAACTGCACCTTTCTCTTTAAACTCCGATATTTGCATGAATAAAGTAATTCTAGCTTTTTCCTCCACCTTTCTTCTTGTGCTGTCGGAAATACCTATTCCGACAAAAAAACGTGAAAACGACGAGAAGCAGAAAACCCGTTGTTGGGCGTCCTTGACAAGGTCAAATCTTCAGGTTTTCCTAATGAACTCGCTCAAGAGTTCGAATGATTGAATTTGAATGAAAATCTACTTTTGTTCATATGTTCATAGGCCTTACCGTTTACTTCGATCTTCTCCTTGACATTCACTGCCGGAAGCAGATCGGTGGCAGAGCAACCGCCCGGTAGTTGTTCAGATGGCACATCGGCACGTAGCAGTTTCAGCCTAAGTATTCAACTGTTGACGAAAAAAACCAGAAAAGCCTCTTCCTCTTAAAGTAATAGCAGCTAACGTTTTTTCAAACAAAAATACTGGAGACTTTCGTTTCACCTGTCTTTCAGCCAGTTCTATCGATCTCTACCGTCGGCAATCACCCGTTAACCGGATTGGTTGTATTTCGCTTAATGCTCTGCCATAAAATTATAGAAGACAGAAAATAAAAAGTAAACACTGGAGACTTGGTTAAGAATATACTGAAGCCTCGATAATTACTACATACTGTAGTAATACTAAAGCTGAAAGAAAGCTCTGGGCGTTGATCAATCTCTGAGGGATGTAGCTGCATTCGACTTCATTAAGCATCGTTTGAAGGTTGAATGCATATCTGGCCTTTACAATGACTCGGCCTAGCGATGCATCGAGCCAGTACTGCTATCATACCAGGCAAGTCTGGTACCAGTTTGGCGACCCCGGTGAGATGGAAGGCTTTGCGGGCCATGCGAGCGGGGATCGATTCCACGTGTGCGTTTCAGGGCGCCTCCAACCACTGGGCCACAATAGAAATACTAAATATAATATAATACTAAAGCGCCACTGTTGAAGCGTCGATAATTCTAAAAAAAGTGATAGTGACAGTGCAAGTTAAGACCTTGTCATTGTCAATTTCGAAGTACGAGCATAGGCTAGTACATAAAAATATAACAAAACGACAAAAATAGTGAGAAATGAGCAGCGAAACAACGTTTCCAAGAAAGTTATATATTATTCAGGTAGGTCGGCTTTCCATTTAAAAATTCATAACAGATTCGGTGTGTTACGTCGTCTTCGAGTGCTCGATGGAATTAACTCAAAAATTTACTGCTCTCTTAGAGGAAACCAAGTCACAACTTAGTAAACATCTCTACGATTTTTATTCGGGGTTGAAGCATCTAAGAATAAACCTGTACAGCGTTTTTCTCTTCTTCAATTTCTCTTGTCCGACTGGAATTGATCATAGAGCGCGCCTGATTTACTTACATTTTGATAAAACGGTCAACGATACTGGCTTGATTTGATACAGAGGTTGGAGACAAAGGGTGTCTAGGCGAGTTATTTTATTAGTCAAAGTGACCGAAGGCAGAAACGCTTGCGATAAGCATGGTTTATTATTGTTTTGCGATTGTATTATCTGTATAGGACATTCATATGAGCTATTCGATTTGTGCTTTCCTGGGTGAATGTGAACACAGTGTACTGTCACAACGTTGCTGAGATATTTGCAAAACTCTGGACCGCAGGTGTTTATGGTGGAGAACGAACGCGCTATTGTACTTTTCGGGGAGTAACGCGTTCACCATGACACCATGCGGATCCTTCGTTTCGCCTGTCTCTCAGCTATTTCTATCAATCTTTTTGCCACAGCAATCACCCTTCAGCGGGGTTGATCTGGGGAGCGCAAATCGGCATAGAACCCAGTTAAGCTGTTGCTGTAGTTGAAATCATGCAAATATCTCAGCAACGTTGTGGTTGTATTTCGCTTAGTACCCTGCCGCGAAATTATAGTAGGCAGAAAATAAAAAGGTATAACATTGTGATTTCAACTACAGCCGCCAAGTAACCAACTAAGTGAGTAACCCATTAATATTGATGTGAATGGATTGTTGAAAGAAAGTATTTCTAAAATGTGATGGCGAACTGAGTAGTTGCCACATTTTACACAGCGTTCATCACTAATAAATTTCCTGGTCTCAAAAAACAATAGAATACACAAACCACTAGGAAACCAGCGAAAACAACTGACCGACAGGCACTTTCTGTGCGTCCCATTTTGTAGGCGGGATCGACGGCCAGGGTGCTCTCGGGTGTTGGATCCAACGGGAAGACGTCGACAACCTTAATTGGCGAATTCAGCTATTCATCCATTTATTGGAATTATTGAAATCGTGTGCACTTCTGTCTGGGACGTATTTGAATTTAGCAGATTGCACAGTAGTCTATAAGACATGAATTAGCGTTATGTAACAGTTCAGAACTGATGGAGAAAAGTGAAAGTTTATGAGGCATATGGTAGATGCGTTGAGTGACGAAGGGATTGATTGGAAACTACTTGACTGTGTAACATTTTTTTCTAACTTTCACATTCTTTTACTGCCCAAAACTAAGTGTTCGTTTCGAAAATGATTTTTTTTCCAAACGGATATGACGGAAAAGTGAAAAACACCCATATTTAGCAGTTAAAGCTCCACACACCCCCACTCAACTCGAATAAAGCGGAAAGGAACAGCAGGCGATCGACTTCCGAGGTGCGTCACAGTGATATCGGTTCCTGTAGGTATGTAAATGGGCAAAGCACCCACACACGCAACCGAAATTGGAGACGGTCCTGTGCGAGTTTCCCAATGTGTGAGTGTGAATATGGTTTGGAAGAAACTCAACACTCATAAGGACAAGGTTTAAGACAGTTCTCAAAATATCATATATTTGGACTGATTTGCACTATTTAAATACAACTTACTTTTTTTTATTTATTGCTAACTACAATTCCCACGGAAGGGTATTATGTGGAATCAACCACAAGGATGCCGAGATATCTGCAAAACTTGGATTCCGGGCCAGATCGGACCGCGATTTCCCTTTCCGGGGGCTCGCGCTTTACACATTGCGCCACGAACACCTTTGCTCTGCGCTTCTCGATACTATACAATTTAGTATTTTAACTACAGTACCCCAAATAACAGTTTATAAACCACTGTAAAACTAGCATTAATAAACAGATTACTGCCAAGAAAGTTAGTGAAAGAGGTTAGTAGAAAGTCAAACAGCTAAATGGAATGCCAATATGTGTGGAAACGAAGACAAGAAGCGGAATTGCAAAAAACCACCATATGGGATTAAAGGGGTTTTCAAAATCAGACAACTTTGTGAGCAGATAATATGATTAGGGAAGTGAAACGAACCAGTGGTAGATGAGTGGCGAAAAAGAACGTCACGAAGCTAAAAGGATGAAAGATAAAGATAATTGAAAAGTTAAATTACACAATTAACATTAATAAGGTAGCAATGGGTATCTAGGTTTAAGAACAAAACAAAGTTTGGATTTCCCTTGTGTATGTGATTTCCAGGTATGCTACGTCGAATATTCCAACTGAGAAGCATTTCGAGATATTAGAGACGAATGCAATGAAACGTTACTAGCAAAGGTGATTAGAAAACATGGACTGAATGCCGATGTATTGATGGAAACCACCACAGGAACTGGTTATGAACGATCTGCTCCGCAATAGCGAAGAATCCGAAATAAAAAAAGACGAAGGAGTGAGTGAATGCCTTCACCTTTCGTCTCCCTACTCGAAGGTCGAAGTGGTGATGATTTCTAAAAAATGGCCCAAGTTTACCATGGGTAAAGATAAGCGGAGAACAAATGGCGAAAACTGTAGAAGCCAGAAAAGTCTACGGTGCTAATACCGAATTAAAAATGGACCATTTCAACTTAAAACAAAAGAAGAGATATTTCAACGAATATTCTGAATAACAGAAACCACCAAAAAGCTTCTTTAATGTTATATGGATGTGCACGATGGAAGCTCTCAAATTTCTTAAATGTTGTGTGGTAAAACCTTTAAGGGAAAATCAAGTTGAAAAGCGTCCGCAGAAACATGCGGAGTTCCTCCTAAGAATAAGAGGGTAATTTAACTGTAATCAGACGATTACAATCGAACTAAAACTCACTATTCCATCAAAATTCGCAATACATTTCACACCAGTATAAAGTAAAAGGCGGTCCGACGGGTTGGACTTAGTTGTGAGCGCTACCACAAAAACTTCAGATCGTAGAACTCATTAAAGTATCTTGCTCTTTTACGAACGGAACGCTCAGCCTATATAAGCAACACAACGATCCGAGTAAAACGAAACGCTTCATAGTGTGCAAATGGTTCCATAACGGGAGTGTCAATGACCTTCGGCAACGATGAGCGAAGAGGATTTAAGACGACCATGACGCCAATTTTAACCCCATTGAACTCTCTCACCAATGATCCCTATGCAAAGAACTGGGAGAAGATCTCAAGATTACGGAGAACTTTGGGGTCAACCGATCGCAGAAACTCGGAATGAAGTGCAATACAATCCATAAACACCAGCAAGAGGTTCTTTTGTAAAGTCTAACTTGAAAATTTTGAGTCTACACCTAGCGACCATAGGTTTGAAGAATTCAAGCATGGTGAACAGATTCAATTCATAGAGAAAGATTGCTGCCGATCTCATGGGTCACATCCAAAGCATGCCACTAGGTACAGTACCTTTGATCGGTACTGTAAGCCGACGATATGACATGGTGTTTTCTTGGCGTATTAAGAAGTTAAACAGCAAGAGTAATTTAAAAGAAAGAACTTCCAAGCAAACGTAAGGTCAGTGCAGTTGTAATCTAGACATTCGCACTTCTTGAAAGCTGCAATCGCCGATTAATTGCCCTAGTGAGAGGAGGGTTAGAGGACTGTGCACATGCCACCGCCCTAGACTTCTTGTAAAGAAATTGCTCAGGATAATTATCACGGAAAGCCTCCAATTTCCAACTCTCAACTCCCACTTACAACTCATAAAGAAAATGCTATGCATAATTTAACATTGGAAAATAGGACGATTGGATTTCTTAAAGTCACCAAAATATCAATTTGAGCTTATTCTTTTAGATACATGAATCTCTACAGTGTAGCCAAACCTCTCATCAACTTGGCACTAATTTTAGTTCTACTTCCCATATAGAGAACTCCTCTCTTGAAAAATTCTCTATCTATCTAAATAATAGTATTTGATGTCCAAATATGGCTGCCCCGCAGTCGCACATCAAACACCGCAATGTAACCTTTGTAATCTTCTCGATCAATTATGTTCAGTGTTTCAGGCACAATGGCGATTCAGGTTTGACTTCAGTAGCATACTGACGATGGCTTATCCGAAGGAGGCGTAACAATGGAACAGTTTATTGCTTCCTTGAGAAACAACGAAGCTAATGACGTTTGATCTTCCAGGCAGTTAGCTACAATCTATTGCGGTCCAGGATCAACAATCCAGATTAACCGCGGTTGCATACGCACGCGGCTCCCGCAGCCGATATAAGCCAGGTGCCTTCGACGGCGGAGACATGCCATCACTCACCTTACTCCCGATCGGTAGCGCGGATAATCCGCTCCTCACAACCACATCCTCAAAGTCAATATCCTTGCACAGGAGTCCAAACACCAGCGCGAAAACTTCTTGAGGCTTTTTGGATAAATGCCAAAAACCCTACAATGAATAGCAGGGACGAATGCCCGGAGATCATACGCGACCTGATCCCATATGTTCGCATCGATTTTTGATGTGGGATGGTGCAGTCGTCAACCACATCCGACTATAATCAGCTGTTCTAAACTTCCTCATTGGAAGTCACGAAAAAGGCGGTGGGTTTTTGATCAGTTGTTGATCATGTAATTACCAAAGAGTCTTTCGTCTTTTTGTAAGTGTCATTGAAGCGTTTGGCCTAGTAGATTGTACATCAGTATACTCTTCTAGGCTCTGAAGAAGGCGATACTGCCGAAACGTCAGCTAGCGTTGTATTGTTTTGTTTTTTTATGGAAGTAGATGTATGCTGTTTAAAAATCTCGCGATTGCTGAACAAGAAAACGACACATTCATATTCCAATGCCGAGGTTAAGACAAAGTCGATTCTGGGAACACATCCTCAATCATCCTCAATCACCTCAACTCATTCGTAGTCATACTCATTCATTCTCCTTCAATCACATTCATTCACACATTCACATTCATCCTTCAGTAAACAGCAGATTATTGTATCTCGTTTCTTAACTTGTCTACGGTGCGATGTCAGTAGTGGCGGGTGTTTCCAAATGCGTTCTATTTGCAAAGCCATCGGTGGCATGTACCATTCCTTCCACAATGTACGCAATGCGTACGTACAATGCCGCTAAGCGGCCAATTTATACTATGTATTCTGCTAAGCCGCTATAGGCTTATCAGTTTTGTAGCCATTCATCATACTGGCCCTTACCCTTAGGAAATGGTGGCACCCATCGATGCTCAAAGTTCACGTTGCTGACATGACGTTATTCACGACCAGCCGCCTGACTGTGTTCCTTAGATGACTCATCATTCACTGTCCATAGCACCGTCAACGCTCATGTAACTTACAGTTCTCGTCGATCCACTAAAATGCTCCCCATCGCTATAATGTTGAAATCTTAGCTTGGCCGAAACACGGCCAGTCTGTAGCCCTCACCACCTCAGCACCACTGTCTCCCTCAGCCGCCGCACCTGCCGCGGATAGACGCGGTGCGGCATCGCTTACGGCTAACCAAAGGCTACTTCGTTGTAATCTCATTATTATTGTTAATATTGATAATGGTATAATAATGTTTGAATGCCATTGCCTCATTGTTAGTTAGCCTCACTTCACTACAGGCCTTAGCACCTCAGAGCTCTAACTTGTCTCATTCCTCTACCATTACTTCTCTATCGTTACTATTATGTAATCAGTGTTGTATTTATGTATTAAAGGTTTAATTACCCAAGTTTGAGGCTGGTAGATCAACTTCAACGGCTTAAAGACCCGCGTGGCTAATATTCTACATCAATCTGAACCGCTTCGTTTCGCCGCTATCCATTTCGTTACATCCCAGAAATCAATGTGGAAGACAAATTTGAGAAGGAAATTAAGTTGCTCAATATTCATAGTTCTAATTGCACGAGCAAGAAAAAAACAGCAGATGGTTAGAATTGATAGATTTCTCACGTTTTATTAAGTGTGCTTTGCCTACACTCATCTACATTTTCTGCGCAAGTGGATGCGCATATTGAGCTGCCAAACAGTAGAGGGATGGTATTCGGTTAGACCCGCTTTCTGGTTTGACCGAGCTTTCTATCCATCAAGACTAGGCGAATTGGTACCAGATATCTCTGGGAGAATCAAAACAAGTGAGTTGATGCATTGGTTTGCCCAGGTTTAATGAAGTTCTAGAATATATGATGAATACCTAAGAGAATCATCAATGCCAAACGTTTTGTCTTCTTATCTCTCCATTTATAATCCACCGCTGAAATGCAATGAGGACATAAAAATTTTAAATGTTAGTGTCAAAGATATGGTTTGAGTAATGAAAATATGATAATGTCGAGTTTGTTCTAGCAGGCACAAAGTTCTTCTTCTGATACTTTGTACTAAATATTGTAAGACATGTTCGAGTGTTCTAATATCCAAAATCAATCAATATCCGCAGAATCCAGTGTAACGAGAAGATTCCTAGGATCATCTTAGAAATCTTAAAGAAAACACCAGCACTGAGTTTAACAAAAAGGAGATAAAATCTGTAACGAAAGTCGGAGGTAGTGAAATGTGACGAGTGTGATGCACAGGTACAAAGGATGACACCATTGTGACCACCTGGTCACTTATTGCAAGGTGTAAATCCTGAAACGCTTTTATAGGCGTATACTGTGATATCTAGAGTTTTGTCTCCAAAGTACAGAGTGGACAAGTTTTAAAAATCTTCGTTGCACCGATTCATAGTCTCTAAAGCCATCTCCACACGAATAGGATTTTCTGGAAATTTCGCAAAAGCACGAAGTGCTGGTGTGTAGTAATTCTAACATTACAACCAGAATTTTGTCACTATAATTTGGACGAATGAAAAGAAGTTACATAAAGCGATATTCTCTCTGTCAAAACTGCTCAGTAACAACCTTGAGATCACTATAAAAAAGTATGGAAGTAGTAGTGTAGAAGTCCATTAACTACACCACATCCGGTTTTCTGATAACGTCAACGTTCCAGCTGTTTCTATTTAGGACGCGATGTAGACATCACAAACGACCTAATCGAGAACAGAGTAAGGAAAAGCGAGCAGCTCAGCAAGATCAGATTAGCGTCCAGAGAGTAGCGTGGAAGATAAAGGGTATAGCAATCTAAGACCACCTCTTAAATATGAATGAAAATAAAAGAGAGAAACTAGGACACAAGCGGTGCCTTGATGTCGCAAATCTTGTGCATCCGTCAATCATCTAAAAGAAAGCCGTTGGAAAACATATTACCAATAGGACACTTTACTTTTCTGATTGCTTTACCAATTATGCCCACCAACTCCTCTTACCCACTTAACTACCGCGTGGAGGCCAATTGTTACGCTACGTGGTTCAGCCTCAAGTACGAAGGACAGTGGACGAAAAGAAGCGAAGTACTTACTGTGACGTCCATTTGATTCAAGTGATAGGGTACCGTCTCTACTTTATCGAAAGGACTTATGCATTCCGTACATACAGAATCTTTTTCAAGCAGTGATGAGTTGTTGCGTTTGTGTGTGGGCGGAATGCATGTTGCGCTTTGATTCGCCCAGAAACTCCAAATCAAGTAACAAGAAAATAATTAGGATTCGGTTAGAAGTTGCATATAGAAAATAAGCTCATAATTTATTTCGAGACAAGACGAGAGTATGCCTAGTCATGAGCAAAGCTGATTTGATCTATAGATAAGAGAAAAAATATCGAGTAGCGTAGCAGCGCATTCTTGAAAAACACCATTTACACGTGGCCTAAACAATGTTTATAAAGCATTTTTACTAGAGCCAGAGGGCGGATAGCACAGTGGTAGTGATGTCGGTCATCACTAGCATAGTGCCACTTCGATTCCGCTCCGGGCTAACCAAGGTTTTCATCACTCCGGGGTCGGGAAGTTTATGCCGGGCTTGTCTGGGAAAAAAAACACTCTCTGTCATCCAATCGGGAATGCTCTAGCCTGACTATCTCAGGACTCCAGGGAGAATCGCTCGATCAGCATTCCACGACATACAAGATGAAATGAAAATCCTAAAGCAGCAACTGAAGCCACACGTAAAAGTTGGGATCTTTGTGGACAATGGATGAGAGGAAACGAATTGAATATGAGAAGCGCTGGGAACAGCACAGCAGACGTGAGGACGGGTCATAAATTAAACTATCAAAAAAAAAATCAAACTTCCCCTCTGTCTTCTTGCCCGTAAAGCACCAATTAATAAAAAATATTTGCTAGAGCCATAGTGATAAGAATTTCTGAAATGCTCGCAAACGAGTAATTTTCGGAGGCAGCTTAAAACGTATTTGTCTTCGAACAATCTCGCCACTGAAATATTTATCAAATCCTCATTCAGTCCTGGTCGGAAATAAGTGTAGATGTTCCTTTAAGGGAAAACACAACCTATTTAATTGTAAGAGTTGTAAAGAAAAATATGGACACAGTGATTTGCGTGGAACGACTACCCATCACATCACATGAAAATTCCTCACAGAACAACTGAGTTTGCTTTCGCAAACGCAGATGATCCTCCGCGGTGGGTATGCTGGTGAGAGGAGAGAACGAAAATGTGTTGACATGGCGGTTTACAACCAAGGGCTTCGGGCGACCGGATTGGAAAAACACCAGTTTAGGCGATTGAAGTGGTCGAATATTTGAGCTAATAGAATTCTCTAGTCGTTAGAAAATCGATTCGCCAAACATTTGCTAAATGTGTTTTGACAGATTCAGTACTAAAGCGTGAGCCAGGTAGATATTTTATAAGTTCTTCGCCTAAACTTGCACACAAACCAATTATTTTTGAATAAAAAAAAGGATAAATATGTATTCTTTCTTTGATCAGCTTACACGAGGTTGATAATGATGTTTATTTTCGGCTAACGTTTCGACGTCTTCGTCTTCCTCAGAGCCGATGATCCGAGTCGATGGTCGAAAGGATAAAGCTCTCGGCATTGATCAATCCCTAAGGGATGCGCCACGCAATCGACTTCATTAAGCATCGTTGGAGGTGATCGAATGCATATCTAGCCTTTACAATGACTCGCGGTGGCCTACCGATATATCGAGCTAGTGCTGATAACCTTTCAGACAAGTTTGGTGCCAATTTGCGGACCCCGGAGGAATGGAAGGCTTCGCAAGCCACGGCGTGACGATCTATTCCACGTGTGCGTCGCATTGGCGTCTCCAACCACTGCGCCACGAGCGTCCTTATTTTTAAATAACTTCTTGAAAATCCGGTGAAATCGACCCGAAATATTAGGATCTACTAGGCTGTATGGCAATTTTAGAATAATGTTAAATGTATGGCATTAAGTACTGGACCGCGCATATAAACACACAACAACACCCCTACGATGTCAATTCTCAAAACACGGCTAAGCACTCCAAGAGATAATTGGATGAGAAATTCGACTATTCATTTGCACAGAGCTGTAAGGCAGAGTGAGGCCTGTGCTTTGCTGCTATCTCAGCCAGTTTTTTATTCAAAAGGTGGTATCGGCAGTCATCCGTCAACATTGTGATTT